CGGTGTCTTGAGCCGCCGTGGAAGGAGGAGGGGTTCCGCACGTACATCAGCCCCTCTTCCGTGAAGGATGTGCCGGGAGAGGCGCCAGCAGCCGGCCAAAAGCAAAGATGAGAAAAATTTTGAAAACGGTATGGCGTTAAGCCAGGCGGAGGCTCAGGGGAGGAGACTTTCAGAATTATCTTTCAAGCCCACATGGGAGGAGCGGAGTGGCTGGGTGGAGTGGCGGGAGGAAAGCTGCTGGGCAGAAAAGCAGGCTCTGGAAGAGCTTTTGTGGCTTGGTGTGGCCAGCCCTGCCCCCGGAGACGGGGCAGTCGGCGACGACGGTGCGTCCGCACCTGCCCAGTGGCTCAGCGGAGAGCACCTCGCGCTGTACGTGAGTATAGCCCACACTCCTAAGGGAAGGTCACCGGAACAACTTCGGAGGGTGTTGGGGTGCTCTGCATTGGCCGATGCGCTTGGCGAGCCCCGGTGCTACTGGGTTAGTTATTAGTTAGGTCATCCTTGGCGGTGGCCGCGGAGCTGAGAGCATTTACAGGTTCTTGCTCTTGGCGGTAAACGTGTGCCTTTACTCCTTGCGGGGAGGAGGAGGTCGTTCTCGAGAAGGGGAGAGGCTGAAGTAGCCCAGACGCCCCCTAGCTTGTATGCGGGTGAGCTTTGGTCTCTAGAAACAGCTAGAATTCTGGACTTTTGTTCTCTTAACGATATGAGGTTGAAGGGCTAATTAGGACGGGACTTTGACCCTGGATTTAGCAACGATGTTAAAGATACAAGAACACACAGCATTCGTATCCAGTTTTTAGCTTAACTGTATTTTAAGACTAGTATGTTGTGAAGTGGAACATAGAATTCAGAGTTCTTATTATCAGTCCAGCGGAGATTTTCCCCCTCTGCGACATCATTTATCTGCATTTTACTTCATCTTGATAAACCATTTTGAAAACTTTCCAGTGGTCTATTCTAAGGAATGAGTCCTTTCTTAGCATATCTAGATAAGGTGGAACCCTCCACTAAACAGTGCTTTTATTTTTAATTAAAATTTAATTGCATATTTAGTTCTGTTAGTTCCTGGATATGGTATAAAAAGTTACTAGCTAAGTGCAAAATATCTAGGCGAATTTGGCCTTTTCAAACCTCTTTTTTGTTTCTTTGTTTCTTTTTTGAAGTATCATTTGGATGCAAGGTTAAACATTTCTCTGTGAGTAAAGATTTTTTTCCCTTTTCTTAGGTATTAGTTATAGCCAAGCCGCGTTTGGTTCTCAGGTACATGCTGAATAGAGGCAAGATTCCATGAATGATTAAAGAATTCTGTGTCACGATACTGCCCTGAGCTACTGCCCTCTTTCACAAGGCACTGACACGGATCCTCCCTTTCTGGTTATAAAATTGCAGGCAGGAATGTGAAGAAGGAGCTAAATCTGGTTTGCTTGGTTCAGCATGACTCAGATGATGTTACTATTTTACAGGCGGCAATAATGTAGTGTTGCATTTGTGGCTGATTTCCCATGACAGGCAGCTTTTCCCTTCTACAGGGCCATTACATCACACATTTTTGTTGCTGACATTAAACAGCTGTGAATAATGCAGTCAAGGTTTAACTTAAACATTGTTTTTTCAAAGACTTTATTATAAACCTTGTGTTAGGTTTATAATATTGTACCAAATAAAAAATTGAGTGCTTAAATCATTTGATTAAAGTGCAAAAATTACTTAATATGCCTGTTAACCAGTAAGGAAGCATAAGGTGATTATTGGTAAGCTCTTATAGTGTAATGTATTTATTTGGCCGTTTTTATAATGGTTCCATTTCTTGAATTTTTGTGTATTTGAGGATAAATTATTATTTTATCTATGCTATCTGAACCAGCTTTTTAGTCGTTAAATTTATTTTTTATTTATTTATTTATTTTTATTTTTTTGGAGTTGGAGTCTCACTCTGTCGCCCAGACTGGAGTGCAGTGGCCGCTCCTGGCCACTGCAACCTCAACCTGCTGGGCTCCAGCAATTCTTCCACCTCAGCCTTCCAAGTAGCTGGAACTACAGGCGCGCGCTACCACACCCAGCTAATTTTTTGATTTATTGTAGAGATGAGGTCTCGCCAAGTTGCCCAGGCAGATCTCGAACCCGCTCAGGCAATCCACTCACCTCAGCCTCCCAAAACGTGGGATTTCAGGCTGAGCCACCGAGCCCGGCTTTTATTTTTTATATTTTTGAGTCAGAGTCTCATTCTGTCACTCAGACTGGAAGGCAGCCTGAGCGGCACACTCACAGCCACCACAGCCTCAACCTCCTGGACTCAGGCAGTCCTTCTGCCTCAGTCTTACAAGTAGCTGGAATTACAGGCATGTACCACCACGCCCAGCTAGTTTTTCAGTGGTAATAGGCCGGGTAATTCCTTAGAATAGATGACTGGAAAGTTTACTGTAGAGATGAGGTCTCGCTAAGTTCTCCAGGCTGGTCTTGATCTCCTAGGCTCAGGCAATCTTCCCAGCTCGGCCTCCCAAAGCTTTGGGACAGGCACCGCACTCGGCCTATTACCGCTCTTTTTTTTTTGAGTTAGAGTCTCACTCTGTTGCCCAGACTGGAGTGCAGTGGCTGCTCCCGGCCACCGCAGCCTCGACCTGCTGGGGTCCGGCGATCCTTCCGCCTCAGCCTTCCAAGTAGCTGGAACTACAGGTGCGCGCTACCACGCCCGGCTCATTTTTTGTAGAGATGAGGTCTCGCCAAGTTGCCCAGGCAGGTCTCGAACCCGCAGGCTCAGGCAATCCACTCGCCTCAGCCTCCCAATGGCGCGGGATTACAGGCTGAGCCACCGAGCCCAGCTTATTACCACTCTTTATACAAGAGGAGTTGTGTAATTGTGTAATTGTAATAATTTGTAAAAGGAGAAAAATACAGAGTAGCTTTAAAATAGAGAGTAAAAAAAAAAATCTTCTGTGGGAAATTTAGTCTTGCTTATGCTCTCTAAGGAAGAGGTGAATTCTAGTCTAATTGATCAGGTATTTTTGAAGTTGAATGCAAAAGCAGTTCCTTGTATACAAGCTACATATTCTCACTTAGTTTTAACCAGGGGCTTTTCAGTGAATTTTAAAACTAGCTTCTGTTATGTGTGGACTTTGTTTTTTTCTTCTAAAATTTATGGATTTTAAAAGATATACCCAAGTGTAAAAAAGATTTAGGCAGGGGTTACAAAATGCAGAAGTAAGGCATATAAAGAGCCCTGATGAAATGAGCATGTAAGACTGTAGGCTTGGAAAAATGTAAGGGAACTTGGAACAGCAGGCCTTTTCTGAAATCATTTGTGTATTTAAATAGTTATTTTTCAGCCACCTGAGTGTCACCAGTTTGTCAATTTTGTATTAAGAAGGTTGGCCAGGTGTGGTGGCTCATGCCTGTAATCCCAAACACTTTGAGAGGCTGAGGCAGCAGAATTGTTTGAAACCATGAGTTCAAGACAACATAGCAAGACCTTGTATCTACAAATCAAAAAATTTGCTGGGCTTGGTGGCACACACTTGTAGTCCTAACTAATCAGGAGACTGAGGCAGAAGGATTGCCTGAGCCTGGGATATCAAGACTGTGGTGAGCCTTGATCTGTGATCCTCACAGAGTGAGACCCCAATTCAAAAGAAGAAGAAAGTAATCATCTTATGCTGCATTAATTTGGGTGGGTGCTTCTGCTACTTTGATTAAACTGCACCTGAATTACTGTGTTTAGTTCTGGGTGCCCTTTTATTTTACTTTTCTTTTTTTGCTTTGATGTAGTAGTCTCATCCTCTTGCCCAGGCTGGATTGCGGTGACATACTCATGGCCACATCTCAGTCTTCCAAGTAGCTGGAACCACAGGCACACACCACTATGCCTGGCTAATTTTTTGATTTATTGTAGAGACGAAGTCCTGCCAAGTTACCCAGGCTGGTCTCGAACCTCTAGACTCAGGCAATCCTCTTGCCTCTGCCTCCCAAAATGGTGGGATTACAGGCATAAGCCACTGTGCCCAGCAGTGCCACTTTTACGAGGGCCAGTACTCGCTGGAATTTATCCAGAAAAGTTTGATGAAGTTTAGATGGGGATTGGACTTGAAACCGTGTGATCTAAGGAGTGATTGAAAAGACTAGCGATAACTATAGCTTGGCAAAGAGATTCAGTTGCTGATGTCATGGCTGTCTTCAATATATATGACTGTCATATGAGAGGCTTATTCTCTTAGGTCAGAATCAGTGGAGTGGTAAGAAGAAGATTTTGAGTCATGAAAAGGAAAAATTTAGCCAGTCACGGTGGCTCATGCCTGTAATCCTAGCACTTTGAGAGGCAGAGGCGAGAGGACTGCCTAAGGCCAGGGGTTTGAGACCAGCCTATGGAACTTGGTGAGACCTCGTCTCTACAATAAATAAAAAACTAGCCAGGTGTGTTGGTGCGTGCCTGTAGTTCCAGCTACTTGGAAGGCTGAGGTAGAAGGATCACCTGAGCCCATCAGGTTGAGGCTGCGATGGCTGTGAGTGTGCCACTGCATGCACTCTAGCCTGGGTGACAGAGTGAGACTCTGCCTCAAAAAAAAAAAACCCAAAAAACAAAAGGGAAAATTTCTGATAATCTCTGCTGTTCCAAAGTAGCCGTATTAGGTATGCTTATTTATGAATATCCTAGAAAAATAGGTTTCAGGTTTTTTGTTTGTTTTTAAAAACATACACATTTGTTAATGTGTAAAAGAATTGAGCAAGGAACATATGTAAATCGCTTAAGAATGGGAGCTTATGGGGGGAGGGAACAAAAAGAAAAAAGCGTGGGAGCTTATATGTGTGCTTTCATATTCATTCAATAAATATTTACTGAGCACCTGTCATATACCAGGTGCAGTACTATTGATGGAGCGCACATTCAGACTGGAATATACTGAACAAATAATTTTGGGGGTTTGTGTATATATATCTGCTCTAGCTTTAGGAGTATAAGTGGTTCTTTCTTGAACTGTAATACATAGAATATAGTAAAGTTTAGCTGCTGGAAAGTTTAAGCCAAAAACAAAAATACATAATCATACATTGTAGAATTGAGCACAAAATAGGTAATAGGGAAGCTACACTGATATAACTTACAACAAAAAAGGAAAAACAGCAAAATTTGAAATCAAGACCAAACCTAAACAGTATTGGTGATATACTGATAAAGAGGAGCCTTTTCCCAAATGTAGGAAATTCCAGTTGAGTTTGTATGCATGTTGCAGTAGGAGCTTGTCTACATAGAAAAGGGGAAAAACTTAATCCCTAAGTATTATGAAGCAGTCTGAAGTATATTAAGAGGCAGATAAATATAACATTCATTGTTATATTAATATTCTGTATTTTTATTTTTTCTTTTAGTGAGATCACGAACTATAGGTGAACTTTTAGCTCCTGCAGCTCCTTTTGACAAGAAATGTGGTCGTGAAAACTGGACTGTTGCTTTTGCTCCAGATGGTTCATACTTTGCTTGGTCACAAGGACATCGTACAGTAAAGCTTGTTCCGTGGTCCCAGTGTCTTAAGAACTTGTAAGGCTCTTTTTTATATTTTGTATTTATGGGATTTACCATTTTCTAGCCACGTAGGGTAATAAAAACATGTTTATATTTAAAGTTTTTCTTTATAGATGGTATTATAAATGTGTTTTAATTATAGGCTGAATATAGTTATCAGAAAATTTGTGTAAAGAATTTTCTGGCATTGGCTGAGGTGGGAGGATCACTTGAGCCCAGGTACTTGAGACAAACCTGGGCAAAATAGCAAGAGCCTGTCTCTATTTTTTTTTTTAAAAAAGAATTATCTGGCATTATCTTTACATTATAGAATACTTGCTCAGATATTTATATCTTGTTTTTCTGTATATTAAGAGGCAGATAAATTGTGCCTAACAAGTACATATATTGTGCTATGTCAGAGCAGGTAGCCCTTGTTATGAGAAGCTTTGGATTTACTTCCATTTTATTGGAGAATAGTGGTACATAGATCATGTAATTTTTAAAAATATTGTTTATTTATAGTTTTGCTTCTAGGTTAAAGGAGTCCCAATGGTTTTGAGAAAAATTTGAGAGGCAAATAAGCTATAAATTGTTTATTGTTTATTGTTGAATTTTCCTCCACTGAGGATTTCTGTCAGTGATCTGAATGTATTTGGTCCTTCTCTCATAGTTCAAATAGCAACTTTTCCCCTTCCCACTTACAGGATTCTGTTGTTATGGTATCATAATCATATTGAGGTTACTTTAACAAACATTGCTAATTATTCAATATCCAGGTGTGTCCAGAGTAAATAAGAATTCAGTTCCTCTGACTTTTTTCCCCCAGTCTCTTGCATGGCACCAAGAATGTTGCCAATTCAAGCAGTTTAAGATTGTCAAGACAAAATAGTGATGGTGGTCAGAAAAATAAACCTCGTGAACATAGTATAGACTGTGGAGATATAGTCTGGAGCCTTGCTTTTGGATCTTCAGTTCCAGAAAAACAGAGTCGCTGTGTAAATATAGAATGGCATCGATTCAGATTTGGACAAGATCAGCTACTTCTTGCCACAGGGTTAAACAACGGGCGTATCAAAATATGGGATGTATATACAGGTACGGAGTCATAGTTTTAAAAGCAAGTCAGATTATTTTATGATGCAGGACACTGCTTGTAGTTCTCCTAGAATATATGTATGATTTGGGGGTTTTAACTTAGTGAGAAGCAAGAATTTGGCAGTATGAGTGTGTCTTTATAATTAACCTTAATAGGCCGGGCTTGGTGGCTCATGTCTATACTCCCAGCACTTTGGGAGGCAGAGGTGAGAGGATTGCCTGAGCCAGGGGTTCGAGACCAGCCTGGGTAACTTGGTGAGACCTCATCTCTACAATAACCAAAAAATTAGCCGGGCTTGGTGGTATGTGCCTATAGTTCTGGCTACTTGGAAGGCTGAGGTGTAAGGATCACCTGAGCCCAGCAGGTCAAGGCTGCAGTGGCCAGGAGTGTGCCACTGCACTTCAGCCTGGTCGACAAAGTGAGACTCCAACTCAAAAAAAAAAAAAAAATTAACCTTAATAGTGTCTTCAGCTCATGCTTTTAATTTAGGAAAGCAGTATAGAATTTACTCTGAGCACTCTTCAGAGAATATTACAGTAAGAAGGGCATGTCTAGGGAATGTTTAGTTAATTATCATTTATAAACTAGTAATTTAGTTTATGACTCAAATAGCAAGGTGTTTTCTTACCTATTTTTTCAGTGATTGAAGCTTAGAAGTTTTCAAGGCAAATTAGGTTTCAACAACCATTATCTAACCTTTGGAAGGGTTTAGTGACCATTTTTAAATGGTGTAACTAGATAGGTTGAAAAGTGAAATTCTTTGGGCAATTTAAAATAAATGTGTTCACTGCTTAAAAAGTTTCTAGCATATTATAAGTACTCAAAAATGTAAAGAATTTTTTAAATGCGTATTTTTTAATATGTACCTTAAAGCAAGTGATGCTAACATTGAAGATAGTCAAAATTTGATTGAGTTCTTTAAAAAATTTAAGATAAACACATAGGTTTTCTTAGAAAACAAAACTTTTATAGTATTAGATAGATAAACATTTTTTCTCCCCACTGGATTATGTTTGAAAAGTTGTTGTTGGATAACATGTATCTTTTGAGTCATTTGATAGTCCATTAGTATTCCAAAACCAAGAAAATACAAGCAAAGGAATAATTTGATTTTATATTTTAAAACATTAGTCAAAGATTTAGAAAATGATAGTAATGTGGGGGCTCTTCTTTTATTTATTTATTTTTTGAGTTGGAATCTCACTCTGTTGCCCAGACTGGAGTGCAGTGGTACACTCATGACCACCGCAGCCTCAACCTGCTGGGCTCAGGTGATCCTTCTACCTCAGCCTTCCAAGCAGCCGGAACTACAGATACACACCACTACCCCTGGTTAATTTTTTGATTTATTGAAGAGACGAGGTCTTGCCAAGTTGCCCAGGCTGGTCTCGAACCCCTGGTCTCAGGCAATTCTCTTGCCTCTGCCTCCCAAAGTGCTGGGATTACAGACTTGAGCCACCATGCCTGGCAGTAATGGATTTTTTAAAAATTTAATTAAATTAATTAATTTGTTTATTTTTTGAGTTGGAGTCTCACTGTCGCCCAGACTGGAGTGCAGTGGCCGCTCCCAGCCGCCGCAGCCTCGACCTGCTGGGCTCCGGCGATCCTTCTGCCTCAGCTTTCCAAGTAGCTGGAACTACAGGCGCACGCTACCACGCCCAGCTAATTTTTTTGACTTATTGTAGAGATGAGGTCTCGCCTGCCCAGGCGGGTCTCGAACCCACTGGCTCAGGCAATCCACTCACCTCAGCCTCCCAAAGGCGTGGGATTACAGGCTGAGTCACCGAGCCTGGCAGTAATCAATTTTAAAACAATGTACATGGTCGATCTAGAAATCCCCCTTCTGAGAATATACCCAAAGAAACTTAAATCACTCTATAAAAAAGATACTTGCTCACACATGTTTGTTGCGGCACTATTTACAATCGCAAAAACATGGAACCAGCCGTACTGCCCATCAAAGCTAGACTGAATTTTTTTTTTTTTTTTTTGAGTGGAAGTCTCACTCTGTCACCCAGACTGGAGTGCAGTGGCCGCTTCCGGCCACCGCAGCCTCGACCTGCTGGGCTCTGGCGATCCTTCCGCCTCAGCCTTCCAAGTAGCCGGAATTACAGGCATGCGCCACCACGCCCGGCTGATTTTTTGATTTATTGTAGAGATGAGGTCTCGCTGCCCAGGCGGGTCTCGAACCCGCGGGCTCAGGCAATCCACTCACCTCAGCCTCCCAAAGGCGCGGGATTACAGGCTGAGCCACCGAGCCCGGCTTAGACTGAATTTTTAAAAATGTGGTACATATATGCAGTGTGGAATATTACACAGCCATAAAGAAGAACAAAATTATGGACTGTGTAGCAACTTGGATGTATTTAGAGTCTATCATATTCAGTGATTTATCACAGAAACAACTGAATATCACATGTTCTCATAAGTGGACCTTGAACATTTACCATAATACTATAAGAAAGTGATTGGCAGTAGCGGGGACACTGCCAGGGGAGGGAGTGAAGCACACAGCATCAGTAAGGGTACTTGATCTCAAACCTGATGAAGTGGCGACCAAAGGGAGTCCCAAACTTTACCTGTATGATGACCACTGTATACCTGATTGTACCCTACATCTTTAAAATAAAAAAATTTTAGCCAGGCTCGGTGGCTCAGCCTATAATCCTGCGCTTTGGGAGGCTGAGGTGAGTGGATTGCCTGAGCCTGCAGGTTCATGACCTACCTGGGCAACTTAGTGAGACCTCATCTCTACAATAAATCAAAAAAATTAGCTGGGCTTGGTAGCGTGCGCCTATAGTTCCAGCTACTTGGAAGGCTGAGGTGGAAGGATCGCCGGAGCCCAGCAGGTCGAGGCTATGGTGGCGGGAGCGTGCCACTGTACTCCAGTCTGGGTGACAGAGTGAGACTCCAACTAAAAAAAAAAAAATTTTTTTTTTTAAAACAATGTAAATGGTAGATCTTTAAAGGTAACAACAATAGCATAATAAATAAGTCATTTTTTACTTGGTAAACTAAGGAGGTGCTAAGAATTTCTATTCCTTTTTTTTTTTAATGGCAAACAATCCTATCTTTCAAAAGTAGACACTGATAAAAAAGTATTAATATTGTCCTTTTTTTCCCCCTTTTCTCACCTTTAGGAAAACTCCTCCTTAACTTGGTAGATCATACTGAAGTGGTCAGAGACTTAACTTTTGCTCCAGATGGAAGCTTGATCCTAGTGTCAGCTTCAAGAGACAAAACTCTCAGAATATGGGACCTGAAAGATGATGGTATGTCTTTTTTCGAGGCTATGAAAAAGGATTCATTTCTTGATTTTGCTTTTGAGAGGTATTAAGATTATCAGGGGCATATGACTTTTAAAATGGCATATGATCAAAGTTTCTTTTTCTCTACTTAATTCTTTGGTTCTTTTCCCTGTATAAATCAAAGAAAAACAAATTTGACCCAGAATAGGAGCCAGCAGTTACTCTCAGTAAACAATCTGATATTTAGAAACACACAGATCTGTATCAACTATTTGAGAACAAAATCTGGATCAGATTTAGAGTTTTACATGAACTGGTCTGTGTTGGTTTATTTCCTCTTAGAAAGGAGGATTATTAACTTCCTGCGTTTGCTTAGTGAAAACTTAAGTAGGTCTTGAAGTAACTAGTATCTAATACAACTTAGTTTAGAACACGATTTACATACCAGGATTTATTACATGTGAATATTAATAAGCATAATAAGTTGGATAGGTTAAGAAAAAAATTCCTTTTTTTAATTTTTAAAATTTGTATGTGTGTGTTTATTTATTTTGAGTTGGAGTCTCACTCTGTTTCCCAGCCTGTAGTGCAATGGCACACTCACAGCCACCCCAGCGTTGACCTGCTGCACTCTAGCCATCCTCCCACCTCAGCCTTCTAAGTAGCCAGAGCTACAGGCGTGTGCTACCATGCCTGGCTATTTTTTTAAAATTTATTGTATAGATGAGGTCTCACCAAGTTGCCTGTGCTGGTCTCGAACCTGTGGGCTCAGGCAATCCACTCGCCTCAGCCTCCCAAAGTGCTGAGATTATAGGCTGAACCACCAAGCCTAGCAGAAAGAAATTCTTTAATAAAAACTAAGATTTACCCTCCAATATTAATAGAAAAGCATGTCGGGGTCAAGTACTCTACTTTTTCCGAAACCTTGATATTTGTGATACTTACAAAGTTTTGGAGAGGCGACCTTATTTGAGAGGACCAGAGATGAGCATCTCTTCTTCCTTCTTAGTTTCTCACGAAAAAGTTTACATTTTTTTGAGTCGGAGTGATGGGTTCAGACAGTCCTTCTACTTCAGCCTTCCAAGTAGCTGGAACTACAGGCGTGCACTACCACACACCTGACTAATTATTTTGATTTATGTAGAGATGAGGTCTTACCATGTTGCCTAGGCTGGTCTCCAACCCCTGGGCTCAGGCAGTCCTCTCGCCTCAGGCTCCCAAAGTGCTGGGATTAAAGGCGTGAGCCACCATGCCTGGCTAGGAGTTTACATTTTTAACTAAAACCCCAAATTTAAATAAGACCTGTGGTGATCTAACAGCCTCAAGCTGGAGGCTGACATGGTTTCCTGGCGTTAGTAATACAGGTTAAATTGAATGTAGTAGCAAACAGCACTCACAGATTTGGAGACATTCCAGATGATGGATAGTAATTATTGCTTGATAAAGTAATATGCTAATATTAAGAAATCATGAAGTACCTTCTCTGCTCAGCTATTGAGGAGCAAAAGGATCCCAACAGTTAAAGTGATTTGATCATTAAATTTTTTATTTTCGCTGAGCACAGTGACTCATGCCTTAATCCCAGCACTTTAAGAAGCAGAGGTGAGAGGATTGCCTGAGCCCCCCAGGGTTTTGAGACCAACCTGGAGAACATGGCAGGACCTCGGTTCTGCAATAAATCAAGAAACTGGTTGGGCGTGGTGGTACATGCCTGTAGTTCCAGCTACTTGGAAGGCTGAGGCGGAAGTATCTCCTAAGCCCAGCAGGTGCAGGCTGCAGTGGCTATGAGTGTGCCACTGCACTCCGGCCTGAGCGACAGAGTGAGACTTCAACTAAAAAAAAAATGTATTTTGCTTATCAAATGGTGCTTACTTACATTAACCTAATTTATTAAGGCATGGTTATGTGCTGTGGATATAATACTGTAGAACCTTGGAGTGGGATGTAGTTTTCTCAAAAAGAATGAATGACAAGACATTTTGAAAATGTTCAAGATGTCTTTTAATCGTGCTGTGTTCAATTCCTTAACTTGTAAAATACGGGAATTGGACTCAATTCTGTCTTCTATAGATGAAAGGTCTGAGATTTTTCCTAAAGGGCCAGCTGTTAAATACTTTAGGCTTATGGACCTTGCTGTCTGCCATAGAGCACAGCATACACCTATGGGCATGATTGTGTTCTGGCAAAATTTTATTTACAGAAATAAGTATCTGGTATATATTGCCAACCCCTGTTTTAGATAAATTGTTTTCGGCTCTAAAAATTTGTGATCCTGTGACTTACTGCCGTTTTGAAATGTTACTCATTTGAAATGGATTCTAGGGTTAACACAGATCTTTCTTTTTGTTCAGGAAACATGATGAAAGTTTTGAGGGGGCATCAGAACTGGGTGTACAGCTGTGCATTCTCTCCTGACTCTTCTATGCTGTGTTCAGTTGGAGCCAGTAAAGCAGTATGTGTCAAAGTTCTTGTACACTGATTATGAATTGGATTATAATAATGTATGCATAATCCTTTTAAATCTAAGTAATCTATTAAGTCTGTGCTCGGTGTCATGAATATCTTAAATGTTTTATTCCATGATGGAGGGAGTTTGCATGACGGAAATTAATATAGTTATTGACTGTGAAGTGAGAAGCTGGGTTGCTTTTAGAGATAATGTAAAATGAGTATGTCATATTTATTTTTTGTAAGATCTAGAAAAGTTAATGTGCTGTAGAAGAGATCTAGTCCATGTTAAGACATTCCCTTGCTAATTATTTTCTTTTGTTGCTCTATATTTTTTTGACCAGTTTGCTGTTTTTAAAGTTTTGAGTCCCAGCTGGTCCTGGACATTTAACTGAAAAAAAAGTAACTTAAAAACCTAATAAGAATAAAAATAGCACTTATGTACTTCCTGGAGTGAACTATAGATGAAATTTTATATTGTCTGTCTTAAATAACATACCTGTAAACAGTTAAAGCAAAGTGACTTTTAAGAGGGTTATGCTTATTGATGAACTTTCTTTTTGTTGTTTACCAGCTCTCAGTATAGTTAAAGGGATCTCAGTAGCTTCCGTATTTATGCAGTGGTTGAAGTCTAGATACATGTGATGATCCCGATAGAGTTTGAATTAATGGAGGGTGGGAGACTAGTTAAAATGCATTTTACTTAGCCAAGTGGTATGTTAAAATGATAGTTGCAAATGTTGGAAGTCTAGAACAAATTGCTCAGTTTAGTTCTTTAAAAATCTTAAAAGAACAAAGCTAGATGTTGACATTGCTATTTTAGGCTGTGTGTTTTCCATATGCTTCTTGCTTTCCCTGTCACAGGTGGTGGCAGCAATATTGGTGTGATTGAGGTTATGCTGGCACCACTCGCACACAGGCGCACAATGGTGTTAGCTGGGCAGAAAGAGTGGCATCTCTGGCTACCGGGCTGGGGGCGACCTTTACCATAGGATGAAGTAACCTTGCATTCGGCTGCAAGGTGTACTGTACGTACACAGGTGCTGGTCGATGTCCACTTTCTGCTTTTCTTTCTTTCTTTTTTTCTTTTTAAAAATAATTTCCCCCACAGTGAAATCCACTGACTCCTCTGAGTAAATTGATCTTCCAGTTTGATGGAGTTTGGAGTCTGACATGTGAAACCAATTTAATGTAAAGTAATTGGCTTTCAAATGGTTTCTCTGCTGTTTTTTGGAATTCTTTAAGATGCTAGAGATATCTTAAGTCTTTGATCCAATTTAAAATTTGAACTTATTTTCCTTTAGAAACAATATACTGTGTCTGTGCAGAAAAAAAGCAAAAAGGATTGCTTTACTCCAAGAGGAGGAGAGATTGTCTTATTGGGATTGTTATATACCTCCAAGCTCACATTTAATGTAACAGACTGAAGTAAACATTAGACTCCTCCTTAAAGCTATTCTGCACAGTTAACTACTGATCTTTAGAGTCAAACTGTATGTGAACTTGTTCTTAAATCATTTAACTGTTTTGTACTTTAAATGACTAATGATTGTGGTTAGTTTGGGAAAAATAAGATTGGTAGATCTTGATTCACAAAAGTGTTGTAATTGCATTATTTTCATAAAATAGCATTTTCATTATGTATTGTGGTTTAACATCCTTGTTGTTTGCCAAAGAAATTTCATTTGGCTGTGAAAATTCTCTTTGCTTGCAGTATCTGTTTCTCTTCCTAGGCTCGAGTTGGTGACCCAAGCCTATTGTAAACAAGTGATTATCTCAAAGGGAGATGCCAATGGAGTAACAATTTGTTAACCTTACATTTTCTGTCTGTATATTTTTTAAAAATCTGGTAGTTTCTGGAAAAAAGAAAAGGGGGTTTGTAGTACTTAACCCTATTTATTCCTGTATATTTTAGTTAATTAGTTTTTGGAATAAATGGATTTCAGTATAACTTTGTTGTTAAATTACATTGCCTTTATTTTATATTTAGGCTTATTTTTAAATTAACATTTAACAGAAAATTTGAAATAGAATTTGCATGTCTGCTTTAATTAACTTAAAGACTGATTTTTTTAATCTGACTATGACACTGAGCATATTCTTTAAATTACTCATAATTTATACTGTTTAAATATAATCTTAATTAAATTTAGCAGTTTTAGTTTAAGATGTGCCATTTTTTTCCTCTGTGTATCTGAATGAAACTATAACATTTGCCTTTTTATTGCAGGTTTTCCTTTGGAATATGGATAATTATACCATGATACGGAAACTAGAAGGACATCACCATGATGTTGTAGCTTGTGACTTTTCTCCTGATGGAGCATTGCTGGCTACTGCATCTTATGATACTCGAGTGTATGTCTGGGATCCACATAGTGGAGACATTCTGATGGAATTTGGGTGGGTACAGCATGAATTATTTTAGTCTATAATTCATCTCTGGTTATTACTGTAGCTGTTTTTTAATGTTTTTTTCCTTAATTTTTTATTTTAAAGATGTGGGGTACAATTCAGGGCTAGGTATACAAATGTTCATTATGCAGGTACTCTTGTTGATGAGGTGTGCTCCCCGCCCCATCCCCCTAGCAGTGTCCCATTACTGCCAATCCCTTTTTTACAGTATTATGATCATTGTTCAAGGTCTGCTTATGAGTGAGAACACGTGGTACTCTTTTCTGTTTCTGTGATAGATCAGAGTATGATAGACTCTAAATCCATCCAAGTTGCTGCAAAATCCATATGTTTGTCCTTTATGACTGCATAATATTCCATTATGTAATATGTACCACATTTCCCTGTAACTTTTAAGAAGTTGAAGTTTTGCGAATAATTAGAATCACTAACATTTGAAATGTATTTCATAATTTAAAATTTTTGATGTTATTTTTTTTTGAGTTGGAGTCTCACTCTGTCACCCAGGCTGGAGTGCAGTGCACCCTCCCGGCCACCGCAGCCTCGACCTGCTGGGCTTCGGCGATCCTTCCGCCTCAGCCTTCCAAGGAGCTGGAACTACAGGCACGCACTACCACGCCTGGCTAATTTTTTTTTTATTTATTGTAGAGATGAGGTCTCGCCAAGTTGCCCAGGCGGGTCTCGAACCTGCAGGCTCAGGCAATCCACTCACCTCAGCCTCCCAAAGCGCGGGATTACAGGCTGAGCCACCGAGCCTGGCTAATTTTGAAGTTATTTAAGCCCTTGAATAATGCAAAACTTTAGTTACAAATTCTAAAAATAAATTTGGCTCCCTTGATAAAGTACCCATCTCTAATCTTAGGGTCTTAAATCACATTATGAAAAAGATGAATTATTTTCAGATCTTTTTCATTTAATGCAGATATATCAGCTCTACTCAGTCTTCTCAGTGTACTCGTTAAGGCTACTTTAAACCTTATTCAAAGACAGGTGTACTTTGTACCTGGTTAGTTTGGTATCCTTGAAGTGACCCTGATACTCACTAAAAACATGTATTTCCAACTCAGGCACCTGTTTCCCCCGCCTACTCCAATATTTGCTGGAGGAGCAAATGACCGATGGGTACGATCTGTATCTTTTAGTCATGATGGACTGCATGTTGCAAGCCTTGCTGATGATAAGTAAGTGTGTAATAGAGCTTGACTTACTTTTTATTACCTTTTAAATTAAAGATTTCCTTTCAGCCTTCTACTTAATGAAAACATTCTTAAGCCTTAAAGGCTATCTGCAGTTAGGGTTTTAATGTCTCTAGACAAGACCTTGGGAGATGTTAATATATCTTAAAGGATAATGACCTGAACAGTTATTCATGTAAAGTAAAGGTAATGCATGCCTTTCCCTGTGTTTCTTGTCTAACTAGCTTAAGTAAACTGGGTTAGCTTTTAGCCCAGCTTACAGAGATTTTTTTTTTTAAGTAATATCTTATGAAAGTTGATGCAGAAGGAAATTTCTAAAAGGAAATTTCTCAAGTGAAATAATAAAGCAAATAAATATTACAGATAAATAGTAATTTGCATCCATAGTGATTGAGACTAGAAGATGAACTGTCACATGAATGAGATATACTGCTTATTGGTAAGAAGCAGAAACTAGTTGTAGCCACTCCATTTTCACTTGCTTTTATCTGCAGTGTTTATGGCTGTAGCATCGAGCAGTTTGATCACATCTATTCATGAAGCAATTCATTATCTTTCCAGAATCTAAGCAAACACACGGGGAGAATTCTTTTTTATTTGACAGCATCTATTGTTTCCCTGTTTGCTCAGATTCTGCATATTCGTTCTCTGCTGTCTTCATAGATACTCTCTACCTAGGTGAAATGCCTTATGTCTTGGAAAGAGGATAAAACAGATTAGATACTGATTGTATTTTAAGTGTAAGAAAGAAGAAAGCTTCTAGTTGTGAACATTATATACACCTGAATGGTGGGAAGGGAAGGCAGCAGTCTTGCACTGTAGACTCTTAAGTATTTAAGTTGATCCAAATTACCAACTGGTATAGACCATAAAATTTTATAGAGCAAGTTATAGTAATTGCCTGTTGCAGTGATTTGGGTGTGCATTTTGTGACTCAGAACACAGTGGCATTTCTTTCTAAAATTTAAAAGTTGCTTTTACCTTAAATTTCCTTTAGAGACTCACTAGATAATATATTTCCTTTCCAGAATGGTGAGGTTCTGGAGAATTGATGAGGATTATCCAGTACAAGTTGCACCTTTGAGCAATGGTCTTTGCTGTGCCTTTTCTACTGATGGCAGTGTTTTAGCTGCTGGGTAAATAACATTTTTTTCTTTAAGGGGAGATTTTGGGTGGCTTTTAGACAAAGCGGTCAGTAGTTTGTTGTTAGTAAATCTCTAATAAGTGTTCTTTATAATATTACCTTGTCATAGAATACATCATTGGTTAGTTCTCCCTAGTTAGGTTTTAATGTGAAGTTTTTGACTAATACACAGCCCTGGATGTTAGTTGTTTGAGCTGTGGGGACCTTGAAATACATGTGTATGGGTGACTGAGCTTGTGCTGTGTTTCTGTGTAGGACCCATGATGGAAGTGTGTATTTCTGGGCCACTCCAAGGCAGGTCCCTAGCCTTCAACATTTATGTCGCATGGCAATCCGAAGAGTGATGCCTACCCAAGAAGTCCAGAAGCTGCCAATTCCTTCCAAAGTTTTGGAGTTTCTCTCCTATCGTATTTAGAAGACTGCCTTCCCTAGAGTAGGGACTGACGGAGTACACTTCACACAAACCTCAAGCTTTACTGACTTCAAGGATCTGTTTTTAAAGATTTAGAAGATTTATTTAATTTGATATGTTCTTGTACTGCATTTTGATCAGTTGAGCTTTTAAAATATTATTTATAGACTGTAGGTATAGGAGAAATCTTTCTAAACATATCAAATGTAAAAGATCTAACTGTGAAAACATATACGTGTATATATTTAGATTTAAGCTGCTGTATGTTGAATGAACCCTTTTGCTTTTCTAATCTTTAGTTCTGACATGTATATATTGCTTCAGTAGAGCCACAATATGTATCTTTGCTATAAAGTGGAAGGAATTTTTATCCTGGGACTCTCAGTTAGATTGTAAATGCTGACTTAGAAAGCTGAATTGCTTCATACTAAATGTATTTGGTTGGATACAGGGAGAGGGGGATGTCAGGCTGACCTGCAAGTGAAACAGTTTTTGTATAGGGAAAGGATTTTTGTTATCCTTAGGAATGGCATCTAAGAGGTGGAGTTGGAATGTGACATTATAAAAACAAAAACACACAAAAAAACAGGATATAACTAGAAAAAAGGATACCTTTTTTTTTCTCCCCATCTAAGTACTGCTGAAGCCTTAATTTTGGAAAGCAGTTTGCAACTTTACCCCTGTGGTATAAAATATAAATTTTAGTCAATTTGAAAATCCATCTACTGTATTACAGCTAAATGTTTTGTTTGTACTAAGGGACAATTACTTTAAGACCATGGATATTTTAAAAAAAAACAACACTTAATTCTATGTTTCTGCAGGGGATGATATTGGTGACTTACCAAAGAGAAGCAATACAGTATATCTGCTTTTGCCTTCTGTTATTTATCTTGCCTGCAGATATTAAGAATGTATGCATTATGTAAAATACTCAATTATATATTTTTGTTGAGTTTTTTAAATTAAAGCCTTGTTTATAAAAACAATATATTCATGTGTTTCTTAAATATGTTAGAAGGTTTCATGCTTTTTGTTTGTCTCCATTGTAAGATTGTTGGCACATCACAAATAGATTAAGCAGAAGGGCAATGAAGAGATGGTATAAAACTAGGGCACTACTTCAGAGTTAATTCAGTGCTTGGTAAATACAGTAACTTTTACGTTGATCTGTTTTGGGAGAGCTGTTGATAGCAATGCTTACTTTAAAAGCTTAGAAAAGCTCCAGGGCCACACGTGATGGCTCACACCTATAATCCCAGCACTTTGGGGGAGGCCAAAGTTTTTGAACTCATCAATTTTTATGCCTCTTAGTGCTTCTGCTGTTTTGTTTCACCTCTTTCACATTGGCAAAACATTCTCCTTTGAAGACTTTTTTTCATGGGAAACAAAAGTTGCTTGGGGTGAGATTGGATAATAGGGAGAGTGGGGCATGCGGGAGTCATGCCATTTTGGGGGGCAAAAACTGCTGAACACTCAGTACACTGTGAGCAGGTTGTTTGTATAAATCACCCGTCATGGGCAAACGCACTGAAAAAATGTCCAAAAAAAATTAACTGAAGGCGAATGCAGTCTCTCACAACAGCACTAGCTGGTACACCAATCCAATGGGTTCCTAGAACACTTACTTCGTGGAGGAAGCCTGAATTACTAGAGGCACATCCTCCAAAAGATAATTCTGTTTTTTGGGGGGCCCTCCCTCGTAGAGAGACCTCATTTCTACCAAAAAAAAAAAAAATGCTGGACATGGTGGTGTGCACCTTGTAGTCCTGGCTACTCAGGAGGCTGGGAGAAATAAAAGCAAGCTCTAGAACAAAGCAAAGTAACTACTAAGCAAAAGAAAAATACGATCTTTTAGGCGAGCTAACAGGCTTTTAATAAACCTATCCAAGCCGGGCACAGTGGCTCACTCCTGTTATCCCAGCACTTTGGAAGGCGGAGGCAAGAGGATTGCCTGAGCCCAAGGGTTCGAGACCAGCCTAGGCAACTTGGTGAGACCTCGTCTCTTTAATAAAAAGCATCAGTTGGGAGTGGTGGCACATGCCTATGGTTCCAGCAACCTGGAAGGCTGAGGCAGCAGTGCAGCCTGGCCTACAGTGTGACTATGACTCAAAAAAATAAAAAAAGCCTATCTGATTAAATATTTCAAAAACCCAGTGTTCCAAGTCCTCTGAGAAAAAAAAACAAAAAATTTGTGTTAGCTATGTGTGATCTTGAAGACTTGGAAATATTTCCACTGAGAACTTTACTTGGAAGTTCTTAAAGTTGGCTATGTTAAAGGATTTACACATTTATAGGTTATATATTTGAAAGTTAGTAAAAAAATCTGCCCAAGTTACTTCTTGAGGGTCATCTATATTTTACAAAAAAGCACAAGAAGCACTTTTTTTTTTTTTTTGAGTTGGAGTCTCACTTTGTTACTCAGACTAGAGCACAGTGCCACACTCACGGCCATCGCAGCCTCAACCTGCTACGCTCAGGCGATCCTTCTGCCTCAGCCTTCCAAGTAGCTGGAATTACAGGCACACGTCACCACACCCGGCTAAATTTTGGATTTATTGTAGAGATGAGGTCTCGCCACGTTGCCCAGGCTGGTTTTGTTTGTTTTTGAGTCGGAGTCTCACTCTTGCGCAGGCTGGAGTGCAGTGCCACACTCACAGCCACTGCAGCCTCGACCTGCTGCCTCAGCCTTCCAAGTAGCTGAAACTACAGGCATAAGCCACCATGCTCAGGTAATTTTTTGATGTATTGTAGAGATGAGGTCTCTCCAGGTTGCCCAGGGTGGTTTCAAAGCCCTGGGCTTAGGCAATCCTCTCGCCTCCACCTTCCAAAGTCCTGGGATTACAGACGTGTGTGAGCCTCGGTGCCTGGCTAAGAAGCATCTTTAAATATCTTGATTTTTTTTTTTTTTTTTTTGCATTTTACTTTGTAATGTATCAGCTTCAAACAAGATGCCATTACTTACTCTCCATACCAACGCACAATCAAGTAAAAAGCATTTTTGGAAGGTACATTCTCTGAGATGTGTACAGTTGTTTGCTACCTCTTCTCATGAAAGCCATCATCCCAATATGAAAGGAAGATTCCAGAATATGTGTCAAGGAGAAACATGCTTGAATTTTGCATTTGTCAGTGGGTAGGAAGGTAATAACAGGATGATAAAGACCAAAGGAAGGTAGGGAGTACATGGTTGGGTATGGATTGAATCAGATTCCAGCTACATGATTTTAAAATGACACCGCCTCTTCTTTGCTACAAGCGTGTCATTTGGAGAACTGGCAAGAGGTCACTTATGTCCAGATTTGATTTCCTGTTTTAGTATCCTGTAGGGGTGCATTGAATGTGGGCAGATCTCTCTCCCTTAGCAGCCAAGCTATCTTTTTTTTTTGAACTGGAGTCACTCTGTTGCCCAGACTGGAGTGCAGTGGCCTGCTCCCAGCTACCACAGCCTCGACCTGCTGGGCTCTGGCGATCCATCCGCCTCAGCCTTCCAAGTGGCCGGAACTACAGGCGTGCTCTACCACGCCTGGCTAATTTTTGATTTATTGTAGAGATGAGGTGTCACCAAGTTGCCCAGGCGGGTCTTGAACCCATGGACTCAGGCAATCCACTCGCCTCGGCCTCCCAAAGTGCTGGGATTACAGGCTGAACCACCAAGCCCGACCCAAGCAATCCTTTTACAATAATAATTGCTAAGACTTGTAACTTGACCTTAGGTTAGTAAATCTTAAATTTATGATCCTTGAAATTCTCCATGTGCCGGTGTGGGGATAAAGTTGGATTCAGCTGGTTTGTACCGCCCTTGGGGAAGCAAGACCAGAAAAGGCTGGACCCTGCTGTGGCATGCTTACAGGTTGAGGCAGTGGCAGAGGCAGGGGGCTTGGCTGCTAGTCAGCCAGTACGGGGATAAGAAAATAGAAAGCAGATGGCCGAGCTCGGTAGCTCAGCCTGTAATCCCAGCACTCTGGGAGGCCGAGGTGAATGGATTGCCTGAGCCCGCAGGTTTGAGACCAGCCAGGCAACTTGGTGAAACCTCGTCTCTACAATAAATTTTAAAAAAATTCGCCAGGTGTGGTAGCACGTGCCTGTAGTTCCAGCTACTTGAAAGACTGAGGCAGAAGGATCACCAGAGCCCAGCCTGGGCGACACAGTGAGACTCCCAACTCAAAAAAAAAAGAAAATAG